CTACCTTATTAGACGGTGTCAATGTGGAATGTTTGCACCATCACAGAAAGTTGTTTGACAGCCCTGCTCTACAGAGATGCAGCGCTGTGTCCTGTGGTTCTGTGTGTCTCTAGGCTCCCACCACCTTGTCCCTTCAGGGTTCTTGTACCCCAGCTTGGGAAGCCCAGCTTTACAGTTATGAGGGAGGTCCATGTGGCGCCCCATTCTTAGTGCTTAGGAGGCCAGGCCTTCAGTGGCAGGGCCCTGGGAAGGGGAGAAGGAAATCAGGGAGCTGGTGGCAGGACTTTGAGAAGGGGAGAAGGAAATCAGGGAGCTGGGGCCAGAAGTCGGCAGGGCCGAGGGACACCAAAATGGGCCTTGAATCTAAAAGAGAAAGGCCTAACTTCAGTATGCGGAGGCCACCAGACACTTCTTTGCATTTTGTTTTTACTTTTTTTGAATGGAAATTTTCAAGCATACAAAGAGACAGCAAAGCTCTCAAGTCCCCATTATCAGCATCAACACAGTTCAGCATTTTACTAGTCTAGTTTCATCTTTGATCCTTGGGGGTTTTTTTTTTTTTTTTGAGACAGCGTTTCATTCTTGTTGCCCAGGCTGGAGTGCAATGGTGCGATCTTGGCTCACCGCAACCTCCGCCTCCCGGGTTCAAGCGATTCTCCTACCTCAGCCTCGTGAGTAGCTGGGATTACAGGCACCTGCCACTGTGCCCAGCTAATTTTGTACTTTTAGTAGAGACAAGGTTTCTCCATGTTAGTCAAACTGGTCTCGAACTCCCGACCTTAGGTGATCCTCCCGCCTCAGCCTCCCAAAGTGCTGGTATTACAGGCGTGAGCCACCGCGCCCGGCCAATCCTTGGCATTTTTTTTTCCCTGAAATATTTTAAAGTACATCCTAGATATATCATCCCATTCATAAATCCTTATAGTATGCATTCTTATGGAGATGAGCTCAGTTCTCCTGTAACTCTAAAATCATCGTCGATCTTTTCAGATTTCCCTGAGAGCCCTGATGCACACTCCGTCTCCAACTGGGGGAAGAGATTCTTGTTTTCCTTTTTCTTTTTTCTTTTTTTATTTTTGAGACACAGTCTTGCTCTGTCACCCAGGCTGGAGTGCAGTGGCGCACGCTCTGCTCACTGCAAGCTCCACCTCCCAGGCTCAAGCAATTGTTGTGCCTCAGCCTCCCAAGTAGCTGGGATTATAGGCGTACACCATCACATCCAGCTAATTTTTGTATCTTTAGTAGAAACTTTAGTAGGTTTTAGTAGGCTTGGTAGGTTTTGCCATGTTGGCCAGGCTGGTCTCCAACTCCTGGACTCATGTGATCCGCCCACCTTGGCCTCCCAAAGTGCTGGGATTACAAGCATGAGCCACCGCATCCAGTCTTGGCGGGGAAGATTCTGAATCATTACCCAGAACTCTAACCACTCACACTGCTCTGAAATGGAATGGGCCGCCTCCATAGGGGGTGAGCGCCCCACCTCCAGAGGCATTCACATCCGGGCCAAATGCGCTTGGCGGAAGCAGCAGAACTTTACAGCAAGGGGTGCATAGCCTGGACTCTGCAGTCGCTGACAGGGTTCGAGTCCTGACTGCCACTTAGGAACAAGGTATCTTTAGTCAGCTATTTAACCTTTCCGCACCTTGGCCTGCTCTTCCCTAAGTGGAGAAGATAGGAGTACCCACGTCAGAGGCATGTAGCCAAGGCTTGAGAAATGGCAGCCAGCACAGTCAGGGTTCCCTCCCACGCCAAGTTTCTGCAGACCTGGAGGGCCGCCTGTCGGGCCATCAAGGAGGTGGTTCTGCCTGGCCTCTGGGGAAGAAGGTCCAGAGCCTACGGCTGAGAAGAGACAGGGCATGGGTGGCGCTCGCCCCACAGACCCTGTACGCACCCACTCTCCCCCTTTCAGATTCTCCCAGATGCTTCAGGACAAGCCCCTGCGCACATCGTGGCAGCGGAAGATGAAGGAACGGCAGGAGAGGAAGCTGGCCAAGGACTTTGCCCGTCACCTGGAGGAGGAGAAGGAGAGGCGCCGCCAGGTGAGGGGCCAGCCAGGCTGAGCTGGTGTCTACTGGTACAACCTGAGGCGGGAGCTTCCACGCGTGCCTGGGGGAGGCCGACTTGGTTAAGAAATGTTCTTGAATCTGAAGGCCCCAGGGAGGAAGGGCACCTGGCCAGAAGCAGAAGTGCAGTCTGGGACCACAGGGCAGGGAGGCCCAGGGGACCATCCAGTTTAGTCTGGGCTGCTGAAAGAGCCTCAGGGACAGGGATGGAGCGGGAGGACCAGCAGCAGGCCATGGGGAGAGGCCCAGGAGGAAGCCCTGGCGGGTAGGGCCATCAGTGAGATGGGGTCGAGGGCCCTTTGCTGGAACCTACTCAGTTGGGAAGGGCTTGCAGATTGGAAATCCATGTCCCCGGTATGGCTGCTGTCGTTCTCCAAGCAGCAGCCCCCACACCTTTCCTCCACTTCTGTCCCCTGTCACCCATCCCGGAGCCAGGAAGCCCCTGTAAAGGGTCACAGCCTCACCCACATCTCCCAGGAACTTTTCAGCGGGGGGCGGGG